AATTACAGTAGTCATTACAATGTTGCATTATTTCTCATTTCATGTGATTTATGATTCTCCGGTGCCCGATATGTTTATATCCTCCAAACCAATGATTACTATCCCAATGAATGAATGTTGCAACGTTACATAGTATATTTAGCTAGATCACAGAGTTCTATAAAATATTGTACTCAAAGTACAAAAATAAGTGCTTTATGCACACTCTTTAATACTGTTTTTGTCTCTTTCTTTTGGTACCTCAACTAACTAACTTCACATAAATAAAGTCAATAATAACAAAAAAGAAAAGAAGCAAGAGGTGGTTTAACATCTGGAAACTAGACATACATTTTGCTGACAGCATGCTTTTCATTAAGAGATAGAGGATAACAACATCTGGTTATATTGCAGTCAGAAAAAAAGGAAAGAACTCATGAAGGAATAGGAATAAAAATACCACTAATTACATTAAGTATTTCAACCAGTGACAATGATGGATTGATTTAAATAGACTTATCTGTAGCCTGTGAGCCCAAAGACCTCTTAAGAATTACACTAAGAAATGCCAAGTTTCAAAATAAAATTTAAATTCGAAAATAGTATGTATACTTCATTGCAAATCATTTATTGCAAAAACTATAGGTATGAGTAACCTTGTTAAATAGATTTTTGAATTTTATAAATGCAAGTATATGTAGAAAACAGAAACAGTTAATAACCAAAATGTTTTCAAGTAAATAAAAAGCATGGATACCTGCTCATGAACATCATGAATCAGTGTGGGAATTTGTCATTCCATGTTTTAAAGCTTCTGGATCTCTAACTAAAATTTTTTCTTCTTTCTTATTTTTCTATACTTCCCCAGGATTATATAAATATCACGGGGAAAATATTTGAAAACTCATTTTGCTTAACAGCAATAATAATAGACCAAGAGTCAAATTCATCTTTAAAAAGGCTTACTGTACCGACTTAGTGTTGGATAGTTATCATGGAAACAAAGTTTAGAACAGAGTTGATTTATTTTTGGGATTCTGACTAAGTGACAAAACCTGCCAGCTGATGCACTTAAATAAGTGTAATTATATTCAGTTATTAAAAATGTAGACTGGATCACTAGACTGTGTACCCCATTAAGGCAAGAAATAAAACATATATTTTTATATATATTTGTATTCATAGTTTCTGGCATAAGAGTAGGTGCATAGTAAAGACTGGTCACGCATTCTATGAAGGATAGCTTCATGGGTTAATTTCAATAGAAACTGTGTAATTTGTTTAATTCTCAATATTACTAAAGAAAATAAAGGAACAGTAAAAAGGAAATTCTATAAAAAAGGAAAATACCTGTCAATATTATTTTCCATTAAAAAATAATCAAACCTTTATATAGGATTATATGATGATTATTGGTGAAGAATAGTTCATGAGCAACCATAACGGTGAAGTTAAATGTGAGGGAATTAGTGTTTGAGCAAATTTGTAAAACACAGAAGGGAAGAAGGCAATGTGCTTTTTAAAGTGAAAGTTTCCACAAGAAGTCCTTTCCGGTTTGGGTTGTAAGTAGTTTGGTTTAAGGAAGAAAGGAACCAGCAAATGCTCTAGGACCTTAGGACCTTACTAATGCCTGTGGATCTTGATAGGCCAAACGTGTCCCCAAGAGCTGTCTTTCATCTTGTCCCCTGCCCAGTCTGGCCTAGTGGCTGCTAGCCCTGTCAACTGAAGGCAGAACTTAGGACCCAGAGCCCAGGAGCAGTGGGAGGAGAATTAGGACCAGAAAGAGGCTGGGTAGAGGGACAGCTAGGTTGGGGAGTGGACTGAGGGTAATTATGGAGGAGAAGATGATGCATTCTTCTCTGTTTACTGTGCTCCTACCCCAGTCAGAAAGAATAGCTGGGTCCATTAGTTTAAGCTGTATCTGCTCTGGAGAGGATAAAGTCAATTCTACAACATTAAAAAAAAAAGAGCCATAAAGATGGGGCCACTGCATAATTTGTTGTCTAAACTGGGACACATTTGGGAGTGAGAGGGCCTATTAATATTTATAACGTGGGATCACAGTCCTAAGCCAGGACTGTCTGGGCACAACAAGATGTACTGTCACCCCAGAGAGATGTTGCCACACTTTGAGTGAGGTTGATATTCTTCAATCTCAGAGAAGTTCCGGCAGGCAGCTTACTTTCTTTAAAGTACTGTTTCTTGGTATCTCCCTTCCCCTTAGACAAAGTAACATAAGTTAAGACAGAACAAAGCATATTCTTTTTCTTTATTTCCCCCTAAAAACAGGAGAAAAGTCTACAAGGGGGAGGTAGATGCAGAAATGTTCTGTATTTTCTTCCAGGCACTTTTGAATGAATGAAAGCTTTTGGTTTCCGAATTATTTTTCACTTCTAGCTTGGTTATGAACTTCCCTTCACTATTAGCTAAAGTATAAGGTTTTCTTTTATCTTTCCTACTAAGCTGAGGAGAACTGGAGTCATATAGAGTTTGCAGTCCCCCATAAATGAGTCCATGTGTTCAAGGTGTACACTGCTGCCCCGATTAAACCTATACATTCTGTATAAACAGTCTAAGAAAAGGCTGGCTTTTAAAATGTTGGACACTTTTGGGGCTATAGAATATTTTACAGCCGTTTTTTACTGAATAAAAAAATATTTTAATCCCTAAGTAAAGAAATAGGGTATGAGTGTCAGAGAAATCTCGTTTTCCTGGTAGTTTCATTCATTATAGCAGGACTTGCGGTGCTTTGTTCTAACATTGGCAAATACAAACAGATAGTCTGTTGGATACATTACACTTTTCTATGAATATGGTCTCGTAAAACTCAGCATTTTCAAGATGTCACTAGGATGAAGTAAAATGTCAACATCAGATTTGACCATCAGTTTAACAAAATCCTGTAGTTAACGGTTGCGTGTCCAGTAGGAACGTTTGTTGCCTAGTTTATCTTTGTCTTCCAATAAGTATATGAAAATTGCTAAATTATGCTATTCGTGTTTTCTTTTGAAAGTATTTATCACAAAGTTCACTTATGGTGTCATATTTGTAACTTAGTTTTGTCTTTAACAGGTGTATCTACAATATGTAAAAATGTATCTACAAAATATAAAAAATGTCAAGTCTCTAGGTTAAATTGTAGGTGCGTTTTCACCCCTTGGGAACCTCCATATGAGTACAGGAGGGGGTAATATCATGGCTTTATGTGAATATTGGGGCACATTGTTCACTTTTGGGAAATCTTGGATAGGGCTAGAGTTGCAACAATAATAAATTTTACAGCTTTGAATACAAAGGCAATTTACTCAAAATCCTAACTGTCTTTACTGACCCTTATTCTGCAAAAGTCACCTGGAAACTATCCCTGTCCCCATGGATTCAAATTGTGACCCAGCTGTCCACAACAGAACTAGAAAATAGTCATTTAAAAATATAGTGAAAATTAACATAAACTGAAAATTATATTGAAGCAATATTTATGAAAAGCTAATCTATGCCATTGGAAGAATGCTTTTTTTTTTTAAAAAAAAAAAAACCTTTAAATAAAACTAAAGCTAATTTCCTGCATAGCTACTATCAATGCATAGCTATAATTTAATTTCCATCCACTATTAAAAAGATAAGGAACTGTGGTTTGGAAATATGTTCTCTTTTGTGAGATATTTTTTGAAGTCAATGTTTTCTTAACACGAGGTAGCTTTCTAGCAGCATTTTGGGTGTTGGTACCCGAACATAGTGTGGTTGGGATGATACAGGTTTGGGTGGGAGTTGGGAGGGACAAACTACTCATCTAGGAGAATTACATTTTGTTGTGGTTAAAGGTGGTCTTCTAGTTCTTCTAATGGCGTGGGAGAGAGGGGCAGCAATTCGAGAGAAGGCAGCGTTTTTACAGAGAGAATCTACTCTCACTGCTGTTCCAGCTCCTCCTAAGTAACATTGGCTGATTTTAATTCTCACTAAGCTATTAATTACCAAAGTTGAGAAACCCAATTCTAATTTACTAGATGTATCTACATTATTGGTTTGGGTGTTTTGTTATTATCACTTTGTTTGTTGACTAATTTTAATTTTTTCTATGAGGAATTTTTTCTAGGAAGCAATCAAGTTAGAAATAGCAGAAATATGGATATTGTGTATCGCTATCCATATGATAGGTATTAAATAAGGGCTAATTTCTGAAGTCTAAAAATATAAACATCATGCAAAATAAACCTTTGGTTCTACACTTGATTTTTTAAAATGCCACTTTTTAAAGTTTCAGTCTCATAGACAGATTGACACTTTCTATGAATATGTTCTAGTGGAATTCAAAGTAGTCTCTAGATTTTACTAGAATGAGGTAAAATTTCAGCAAAAAATAAAACCACATCTACTCGGTTGGATAAAATTACGCCTCAGGAGGTAAATGTCATGAATACTTGTGTGTTTCCTTGAGCAAGTGACACACTCTTCCAGTGGCAATTTTCTTGATACGCTGACATTATTTCATGTTTAGGTCTTTGCTCTTAACCTTTTAAAAAAGTGATTATGATTTAATCTGGAATAATGACTTTTCTCATAAAGAGATTCCTGTATTAGCTAATGTCTGTTCATTTGATTAAATTGAAAATTCCTCTGGATCAAATCTATTTCACATTGACTGGACGTGCAGAGCGCCCTTTTCCATTTGTTTTCAAAGATTTTAAAGAACATTAAAACTTTTGTTCTTGGAATTTGCAACGCTGTTTTGGACTGAGTAGGAATTTGCCTGCCCCTAGTGTAATCACTCTCTTTGAGTATAAAAGCAGGTCTGTGGGGGAGTGTGAATTTGAACCTAAGAATTGCTTAAGGCAGAATTTTTCACTTTCTCATTTTTAGGATTAGTTTGACCCAAGAATTAGTTTGAAGCCAATGTGAATTATATATAAATTTATACTTTTTCTGAGATAAATATATGTAAAAATATGATTTGGCTATTATTTTTAAGTTAGACAATTTTTCTTTCATTTTTATATTTAACAAAAGTAAAATAAAAAGAAAACTATTAAGGGATATAGTAAAAATACCAAGAATATAGCAGTTCCCAAACTTAGTTCCACACTGGAATTACCTAGGATCTTTCAAAAATATTGATGCCAGGCTCTGACCCCAAGACATTCTGATGAAATTGGTGTGAGACATGATCTTGGCATTGGCGGTTTGAAAAGCTCTCCAGGTACTTTTAATGTTCAGTCAAGTTTGGGAACCACTGTTCCAGGGAATATGAGGAGCAAAATTTAAAGCTAAAAGCACGAGCCCTTTCAGGGTTTCGTGGTAGCGTTGACGTGTTTCATATCTGATTGGAGTTATTAGAACTGAAAGGTTACAAGGACTTTTAATTGTTATTGAAATTTACTTGATTTTGATTGGAATCTGGTCTGATTTCAGATCACAGAATTCCATTCTTGAATGACAAATTGTTCTACGCTGTTGTGTTTCTATTTTTCCTTGAGTCCTGTAGAATTTTAAAAGGGCCAAGGGATTTTTAAAATGGAAATTCTAATACTGTATATCTTAAACTACCGATGAGACTGGAGTAGGAGTAATAAGTATTTGGTGTTCAGACTTCAATTATTTCTATTGTGAACAAAAAGTAATCATTTACAAGGATGGCAAGAAAGTAGTGCCTTCTATTCCTTTCTATCTCAGTTTTTGTAGCGCCCTCAGCCCCATCAGATGTTCCTGGAGAAGCAGCCCAAAAGTCTTGGGGATTTTGGCATATACCCCCTTGCTGAGTGTTTCAAGAATCAGCTGTGATGGATTTAAGGTTTTCCTCTGACAGCTTCAGGACCAAAGGACTCAGATATGGTAAAGCTGTCTGATGCTTATTGAAAAGAAAAGGAAAGGAAAGGAAAGTAGAGGGCTTCTTGATAGATTTAATATAAGTGGTCTAGATAATCCAAGGCTAAACTCAGGTTGATATAACTGTCTCTGAATGCTGGACGGTGGTCTGGGTGCTACAAAAAGACCAAAGAAATGAGAGTAAATCCTCACTTCTCTCTTTGTTTGAAATGACTTTTCAGCCAATTTGGTGAATAGGAAAAAGCATCGTAAGTAATATTCTGTAGATTTGATTTACTTTTTTGTGATATTAGAGATGAGCAAAATGAGACTGACATGAGGATAAATCATTACGGAGAAGTCAAAACGTTTACAAATTAAAAAAATCATTTCCAGTTGAAACGATTATTGTGTTGTGGGGATCCTTGAGAAGGGCACGTGTTCTAGGGAAAAAGAGGAATGGGCTAATGAGTTTAAAAAACAATGGGCTGGGATTTGTTTTAAACATATCTGCAACACATCACATCAATTTCCAGGAAGTCCCAAGGGGCTGCAAGGGACAGAGAGATCCTGACCTATGACAGTTTGACTGGATGGAATTTTCAGACTGAAGTGATGCTGACTCCATCCAACCTTGGACAGTGTTTCACAAACTTCAGCCTGTAAACATGCCCTGTAGAGCGGGCAGTGGGGAACATGTTTTGAAAAGTATTCTCCTACCTTCCCTCTGCCTGTTTGTGATTTTGTGTATCACAAAAGCAGCTGTGAGACAGGGCTGAGACTCTGGAGTTTACTTAGCTCTGTTGTTACTGTTCCTGACTGCCCAGGTCTGCTCAGCCCCTGAACGCTTGTTAGCGAAAAGATCTCTCTCCGCTCTGTCAGAGTTTGTAAACATACTCCCGAGACACTCAGGCACCTTGGAAGGACAACTTTGGGGGGCAATATCTCTTTAGCTTTCTATTAGACAAAGGGCTCCTTAACATTTGATTTAAGTAGGAATAACATTCTCCTATCACAATTGTACAATTGGTATAAGCTATATAGTCTCGGGAAAGGCATCATTTTAGGAAAAGTATTACATATGATTATTAGGGAACTGGGTTAGAGGTTTATTACTTCTATATAGAGTTTTGTGGGTCTTATTGTTAAATTAAGAGAAAGATATCTTCAGAAGGCTCCATATCCATCCCCTCGGGCAGTCACTGCAAAAGTGGGGTAGACCTCGTATGCTGTATATGCTGCTAGGTCTTGTCCGAGGGTCACTGCTTGCTTGAGCTGGGCTGCAGACACAGGTGCAGTTGCATTAGGGACGGCATATCCTGGACGGGGAGGCAGAGAAAACTTCATGAAAGGGATTCAGATTTCCTTCCTTTTGGTTTATTGCTTTCTTTTTGGAATACGAAAATTTAACATATTGCTTAAAGCCAACAGTTAATGTGTACATTTAAAACATTGCTCTCAGGGATCGTAATATCTGGACCCCTTGATGAGGGGACAGTATTCCTCAAAATGATGTCAGCCACCTGTGTCAGAATCACTTCACACTTAGAGAATTAGAAACATTGGGCATAGGTTCCAAAAAATGAAAACTTAACAGAATGCTGACCTGCTTAAAGCTTGAAATTTAGAACTTTCTCAGAGGGTCCCAGAATTTATAAAGGAGCAGAAGCAATTGATAGGTTGGCAGAGCGTGGGGGTCTGTGCTATGTGGGTCTGGTTTGGCTATACGCCCACTCCCACCTAAATAAAATGTTAGAAACCATTGCTTTTACCCAAGAAGGATGCACACAGACTGGGTAGACCAGTAGGAGAAATATTGAAAGTTTTAGCATATTTCTATATAGCACCATAATAGCAAATAGCCTGTCCACGTTTAGACCTAACTGGGAAGGGCAAAAAACATCTTCTCCACCCACCATCGCGCTGTCTTTGGTGTGTGCAGAGGCCTTGATGCTTGTCCTCACCCTCAGAGAACCAAGGGGTTTGAGTGGTAAGGAAATCACCTCGTGCTTCATATTAGTGTTGTGTCTAGGTGATTAATGTTCACTTTTGAAGAGAGTATAACAGTTATTATCTAAAGTCAATACTTCCCTGTTAATATTTTAGACCAAAACCTGGGTATTTCTGAGATCATCCAAAAATTGTGAAAGATGACAAGAAACAGGGAAAAATATCCTTAAGTAACGAGTGGGGACTTGATTAAAAAATACAGTCCATTTGGTTTACATGCTGTGGAAGTCTGCCAACCCCAGACACATTGATTTCTTTCTGGTGGCTTCTCAGGAAGTGGTGGCAGGAAGCCGGCTGGACTATTTTTCAAAAAATTGAATCCACTCCTTGGCTCGTGCACTTTGGGCAATAATGCTGACTAATGTACTAGCGAAGTCTGGTACATTTCCCAAGGATATGAAAAATGTGTTAACAATTACTTTCAAAATTTTGGAAATAGTGTTTCCAAAGTAAATAAGTGAGCGAATAAGGACTATGTATGTGTGTATAGCATAGATTTTTATCTTTAGGGATTTTGAATGTTCTTTTTCAATTTGGCTAATTTCTTAAGTGCAAAAGTATTTGTTTCAAACAGATTCTTCCCTTGGAGCCTATTATTCTTTGCTTGACTCCACAGCAACGTTGTAAGAGAGGCTCTCAAATTCTTAGGCATTCCCAAGACAACCCTCATGCCCTAAATATTTTTTACTTCTTGCAGAAGCAAAGAGAAGTGAGGATGAGATACAACATTCTTGGGTAAAAGCAAATCCTTTCCAATGTGAAAGCAAACTTTAACTGACAGTGGCTCGTTTATTTTTATAGTACGTTAATTAGGTGCCTTTGGGGTACAGCTTTCTGAAAGACAGGGGTTCAACTTTCTCCAAGAACTGGGAAACCCTGGCACAAGTCTTCAGCAGACAGACACGTCAACACCATGTTTTATGGAAAGCAAGCACGGGGCTGATGGCCCCAGCCCAGCCCAGCAGGGACCTTGCCCTCTGCAGTGGCAGCTGTTGCCTTGGTAACCTTGCAGGGGCGTGCCACACATCTTCTCCATGTTCTACAGAACAAAGCTGGAATTGAGGTCACATTTGCCTGTGAAGCATGATTACTGTCAGCTTCACTTGCCAGAATAGAGGATAGATTCACAATTTTTGAGGAATAAAAGAAAACGAGAATGATCCCCAGGTGTTATGGACGTGAGGAATATAGCAATTCTCACACCTACACATGAATTAATCGATCCATAGGGATGTTTTATTTCTAGGTCTAGTCAGAACTCTCTGATTTAGGTTTATGGGGGTAGACCGACACAGTGACAAGTCAGAATAGCAAATTTCTTCAAAAGAGATAAACTTTTATTAGTAAAACAGAATGGAGTCTAACTGCTGATGAAAAATTTTCAAAAGAATTTTCTTGTCTGATCCCCTTTAATCTCTAGAGGATTCATTTTTAATTATTAACGTTTGTTGTGGGTACGTACAAATAGGGAAAAGTCTTTTAAATGTGACCCTGAAGTCATGTTGATCTACAGATAGGCTTTATTTTAAGCAATAGCATATGCCCCAGACCAAAATTATAGAACAGATAAAATGAGGCCTGTTTATCCACATATGAAAGGATCTCTCTGTCTCACACACACACACAGAGTTTTTGACTTAAAATAGTTTAAGAAAAATATGATCTATACATTTCTTTCAGAAAGCAAAGTAATAAAAGTAGAATCAAAGATTAGAGAAGGAGCCCAAGGATTGCTTATGAGTTGATTGACCTTGGCCAAATTACTTAACCTTTCCAGTACTTGGTTTCCTCATCTGTCCAATGGGTATATGACACAACCTACCTCTTATGGTGTCATGAGCATTACTAAGATAATATAAGGCATGCTGGGCATTTAGGTGAGCGCCTGGCACATGGTAAGAATTCAAATAAACATCAGCTATTACTATGTAGCTCCAAAACTCTCTTACTAAAAGTAAAAACCAAACCAAACCAAACCAGATGCAAAGAGATAGATTCATTCAAGATCACACAGCTGCTTAAAGCTGAGCCAAGACCAGACCCCACTTCTGCTGCCCAGCTCAATTCTCCTTGCCTTATACTTTTGATGGTTCGCTTATCTGGCAAATTCTTTTTGGTCACAGATCATGTAAGTCAGATTTATTGTAGGTGGTGTTCACAAACACCTCTATGAGTGCATGGTACCAAGTAGGGTTTCCCTACTCTCTTTACATGGTGCCATTTCTGACGTGATTTTTCCATACCTGGAAAAGCAGCAGCAGAAGCGGCAGCAGCAGCAGCAGCTGTAGTCGGGGCGTCAGCTCCATCAGTGGGGATGCCCAGGGTCTGCAGGGTGTACTCGGCTGCGTAGGTCTTTGCTTCATCCACATAGGCACTTAGTTTTGGAGGTGTGAAAGGGTGGCTGGAAAGCATAGTCAGTCAGAGTAGGAATTTTAAACTTGTGCTCCTGAGACAGGTGAAAACCTAAGGCACTGTTAGCTTTTTAAGATGATCAGATAATAGAATTTTGTGTGGGTATTTTTCATTCTCTTTGCTATTAAAGCTTCTAAATTTACATGCATGTAGGACCATTTGTGAATTGACCTAGAACGTCAGTGATTGATGACCTTCCTGGAGCATACTTCTCACTCATTACATGACTTTTCCAAGGTGCGCGTGAAACACAATGGTTCCTAAAATATGTAGAAATGTAGGTTCATGGTAAAATTCAGAAGGTGATATCCACTAACGGAGAGGTTATGTCTTTGGTCTAAAATTTAAATGATGGGGGATGATGTTATTATGTATAAAATGGCAATTTCTTATGGTTCAACCTAAATTCTACAGAGATGAAAGAATGGGCTATGAGTTTTCAGTTCTATTACATTTTACGTCTGCAGTTTTCTACTGGGTGATTCTACTGTATAGTCTTCATTGTCAGTGTTGAACTTGGGGGCTTGGGGATGGCAGTCTCATAACTGGCACATACATCCTGACATTTGTCTTTAATAAAAAATGAGTAGGTGGGTAGACTTGAATATTTACCTTATTTAGATAGTGATAAAATACACTTAATTTACAAGAGCTCTTATTCTAAAATCTAAAGGATTAGGAATTTGGAGAAGTTACGCACATTGCAGGATTCTGGCTGGCCAGAGCAGGAATGCTTATTTTGTATAAGAATAGTTGTCTTTGATCTTGTCCAATGGCAGAGTGCAGCTGATACACTGGCTGTCCCCAGTTATTTTTCTGACAAATTTCTTCTAATATCTACAAGAGTAAAAAAGTGATTTCCCTTTCAAATGTCACATTTGCATTAGTTCTCCAGCTTTCAGGTTTTTAAACTCTAATCTTCAGAGTTTAAGCTAATATAAGAAGATATAAAATGCCACATGGTTTAATGACTCATAAAATTTAAGATGAACTTGATTTGAACTCCATTTAAAATGTTATGTCTATTAATTCATAAAAATCATTTTCACACCATTTATTCTAATATGTTTTTAGTTTAGTCTGTTAGCTGTAACTTTTTACCAATAGTTTAATTTTATGATTCATTTGATGTATTTATCCCATTTTTTAAAAATTGAAATTCCAGCACTGTGTAGCTGGATTTACTCATTATTATCCTCAATCCTTCTGTTTATAATGGTTTAGAGAAAATAATCTAAGAATGTTTTCTTATTTCATATCATTCACTTCGCATTTTCGTAAAAATAGAGTGTGCGAGTTTAATGGGTTAGTGTTTATTGATGAGCACTAATAGATGGGTGTTGACAGTCATAATGTCTTTGGCAAAACACTACTTCTGGCTGTATAATCTGATTTTTAGCATATTCCTACATGTTTTTTTCTTCTTCTATCATTACTCCAAACTGAATCTTCTTTAAAGGCAGATATTCTTTCATCCTGAAGCCATTTTTGGTGGCCCGCAAGCCTTGATGCTCCACTAGTCAGCAGATTCAGTAAACTGTGCAAAACAGAGCATTTCTGAAAAAATAACTCTTTAGGGCAGAACCATGCCCCAGGATGAATCTATGGGGCTTATCTCATTTGTTCTAACACTAACCAAGCTGTAGTAGCATCACATTTTCCAGTTTACTAAATTTGTAGATTGCTCCTATCTTATCTAATAACTTTTTCTTTTTAATACTCTCAGTTTTGTAGCATCTCTTGTCATCTACAAAGCATTCTCTAACATTCATGGGCAATAATAAATTAGCTTTAGATGGCAGGTATTCTAAAGGAGTACCAGCTCTAGCTACTGATTCTGCAAGGCAGTACTTGTCCTTCTGCTCTTCTTGCTGGAAGTTAATAATTCTACCATGGAGTTGTGAAGGCTCTATCAGTGTTAGTTGGGGGTGACATGGTCTTCAATTTCTAGGCCTTAGTTGCAGAAATTCAGAGACAAATTAATTAAAGAACTTTCATTGACTGATAGAGATGGTTACATATTAATATAAAGCATGACCAGTTTCTAACCTGGGTTTGATATAAAAAGCAGAGGTCATTAGTTATGCTATAGCAGCTCTTAGGACTATTATAAAGAATTTATGGTGATGATTATTTTTTATTTGCTTAAAAGATTTCTAGGTATCCCAGTACTTTAATTAGGTTCCTTATTTTGGGTTTTAAATCAAGATAGATTGAATGACTAGCTTTTGTATTTTCTGAGCAAAGCTCCATCATGGTACTTACTAGATTTTATTATAATTATCTGTTTATGTGTCAGTATCCTCTTACTGTATTTCCATATAATTTTTCCAGTTTTATTGAGATATAATTGACATACAACATTGTGTAAATTTAAGGTGCATAGCATAACAGTTCGACTTACATATATTGTGAAATGACTACTGTAATCACAAATCTGATTTCTTGTCTATGAATTTGTATTTTTTTAATATTTTACATATAAGTGAGATCATACAGTATTTGTCTTTCTCTGTCTGACTTATTTCACTTAGCATAACGCCCTCAAGGTCCATCCATGATGTTACAAGTGGCAGTAGTTCCTCTTTTTTATGGCTGAATAATATTCCATTGTATACATATACCACAACCTCTTTATCCATTCATCTACCAATGGACACTTAGGTTGTTTCCATGTCTTGGCTACTGTAAATAATGCTGCTATGAACCTGGGGATGCAGATATCTTTTCAAGTTAGTGTTTTTGTTTCCTTTGGATATACTCCCAGAAGTGGAATTGCTAGATCATATGGTAGTTCTATTTTTAATTTTTTGAGGATCTTCCATACTGTTTTCCATAGTGGCTGTACCAGTTTACAATCCCACCAACATCCTACCAACAGTGCACAAGGGTTCCCTTTTCTCTGCGTCCTCACCAGCACTTGTTATCTCTTGTCTTTTTGGTGATGACCACTCTAATAGGCGTGAGGTAATACCTCACTGTGATTTTAATTTGTATTTCCCTAATGACTAATGATGTTGAACATCTTTTCATTCACCTGTTGGCCATTCATATATCTTCTTTGGAAAAATGTCTATTCAGGTCTTTTGACCATTTTTTGCATTATATTCACTTTTCCATCTCCAACACCAAACACAATACTTGGTGTGTAATGGATGACAATAAATAGTTCTTGAACAAAAAATGATTACTGTTAATCACTCTGATAAACGTTGTCTTTTTAAATTGCCTGGATAGGGTTAACAGAAAACTTAAATGAAATAATTTGTATGTATAAGAAAGCCATTAATCTTACAAAAATAAATACTTGGGGTGGGCCCTGGGGCTGGGTGGTCAAGTTTGTGTGCTCTGCTTTGGTGGCCCAGGGTTTTGCCAGTTCGAATCCTGGGCGCAGACCTAGCACCACTCATCAAGCCATGCTGAGGCGGCATCCCACATAGCAGAACTAGAAGGACCTACAGCTAGAATATACAACTATGTACTAGGGAGCTTTGGGGAGAAGAAGAAAATAATAACAATAATAAAGATTGGCAACAGATGTTAGCTCAGGGTCAATCTTTTAAAAAAAATAACTCAAGGTGAGCTTTTAGAAAACCAAGTTTTCTACTTGATTGTGATCCTAAGGCTACTTCCATAAATTTGGGGCTTATACATTTAAGAGGGGAGTAGGAAGTTTCCTTTACGATGCACAGTTTAGTTTACAAACTAAACTATAACAGTTAACAACTGGATGTTGGTTATTCAGCCAAAGTGTCGCTGCAGAGAGACCAGCATGTACTCCACATTCATAGGGAACAGTCTAAGGGTTAACATAGACCCTGTTTTGTGTTCATTTTAACTCTGTTTGTTATTAAGTTTCCATAATGGAACAACTTTTATAACTTTTAATTTTCCAATAATAAAAACCACAGCTCCAGGCAGAAACATGGAAACTTAGAACTGTGAAATGAAAGCAATAAAACCTCACCATAATGCCACTGCCCAAATATAATAATTGCAGACGACTTAATTTGATACGACTGATGGCACGTCATAGTATGAGTAATGATATTGCCATGGATAGCGTGATGTTTTCTCATAAACACAGTGTTTCCAAGAAAATGTCTCCTAAATAGTCTCTTCATTCCCTGTCATGAGTGCTCCTCATTTGCCAACCAACCTGGCTCACATATGATTGGCATTTCTTTTGAGCTAAGTTCTTTGCTTCATATTATTTTACTTAAGGTATTGGTTGATAATTCTTAAGAGCTCTCAGTATCTTCACCTTTCAGTGGAAGATTATTTAAGGCGTCAAACTTTATAATTAAAAAAAAAGAAAGTCTAAAATAGAACAATGGCACTCAACACTCAGCCTTCTCTTGCACTACATTATGTTCACCGGTCACTTTTTCTACTTAAAAAAACAAAACAAAACAATAGCCCAAGTAGGAATCAAGTCGAATCATTTGATTAAAGGTAAATGATGGGTTTTGGTCCAACTTAAAGAAACTATGTCTGGAATAACATTACCTACCTGGGGAGCAAGTTTAATTCCTTGGGGTTTTAAAGTGACAGGATTCATTGGGGTGAGCTCCATCCCAGGTAAAAGATCATAGAGTTTGTCTTCTCTCTTGTCTCCTTTGACCTGGTATCCACGACCCAGGCCTGTGTATGCCAAATAGCCACGGCCACCCAGGCCTCTCACTCCCGCAGCCCCTACAGGTACATTCATGTAAATTTCTAGGAATGTAAGAAGGCATTAAACTGAATCAAACCACCAGAAATCAAACCACCCTGAATCTTACTGTAATGGAAAAGTTAGCCCAAGTCACATTGATTATTGCCTTGAAGATGGGTAGAAAACTCTAGGATTCTAATGTAATGAAACTCAACATAAGGGAAGGTTCCTCACAGGTGCCTTCTTTTTCTTTTAACTATCTATGGAGGAAACAATACTATCAAAATGTACATGAGCAACTTTAACACTTTGGTACAGAGAAAAATTTTGCAATTTCTGTCTTCAGTTAACCTTTTATTGACATTTTTCTGTAGACTAGTAAATATTGGGAAGGTGTTTTGTAAAATATCCCAGCTTGATATGATCACATGTATTAAAATCAGTCTTGCATTTTTGTCATCCATCAACAAATCAGAAGTAAATTCTAGCTCCCCCAATAATTCCAGCCCCAATGACCTATTGGAAAACCAACATTTAGAAAGTATATTTTCAAGTTCACCATTTTCTCTCTCATGTTCTGTCAATGTGAGGCTTAAATTTCCATTGAGTTTCATTAATAGATTCCTTTTGATTTTTTTGTTTTGCCACGTTGCTACTTTGATTTCCTACTGGTGGCATAAAAAGATAAAAAAATTAAATTGATTACCCTTCATCCATGAATATCATTCATTGATTCCTTTCTTGTTATAGGACAAATATTTTTTTCCCTTGAAGTGGAGTTTGTTTTTTTCTTACATTACAACTGGTTGACAACTTATATTTAACATATGGATTGTTTAATGATGTGATTTTAGGTTATAAATACATAATGTTTTCATGACATAATTTGTCATTGTGTAGACAGATTATCCTGAAGGAAATCCTGATGATATATTTTGCATTACAATTTTGGGTAGAGTGATTGTATAATGGGCATGGAACTTTTAAGGATGTTGAAGACTAGAACTCCTAGGATGGTCAAGTCTGTTCTCCTGAAAAATAGTAAAACACAGTAAGATAATTGTTTCCACAGTAATCTGGACAGACCCCTTTGCTTCCAAGTCAAACCCCAGAAGAGATTTAAATACACCATTTGGTCAGTGAATCACCCAGACTGGTGTCATATTTGGAAGATAGAACTGGGGTTCTGTTGGCGTTAGCCAGATCCTAGCAGAACCACTCTGAAGGATCCTGTAGACAAAGGAAGGATTCCAGAGACAAACTAGTTTCTTGGAAATAAAAACGCTTTCTTTATCTTCTATGTTGCTTGAACCAACTGAACTCAGAAGACTGCTCAAATACTTGGAATTATTATAGGACTCAACAGGAAAGATTTTTTGCGTGGCAGTCAGATTGTTTTTTCTTTCTATTTGGACTTTACTATTTAGTTCCCCATATCCTGGAGAAATAAGTTGATTTCCTTAATAGTGTGGCTTTTTAGAAGTCACAGCACCTATTTCTCGGAGGAGGTCAGATGAGAACATCTCATGTATCTGTTAGAATATATTTATGATAATTTGTGATTTATATATGAAGATGATGCCACTGAGTCATCATCAAATACACAGGTGCCTTGGCATATTTTTGCTATTTAAGATAATTTGTTTTCACTGGACCATACTGCTCTTGCTTGGAATTTTGTAATGAGTCATATGTGACTGCAATATGGTGGTCCAATGAAAGGGGAGAAGCTAACAATTGTGGACTTGAGTGTTAGTTTGTGCAAATTTTATGGGCCCATGCAAAGATAAAATGTGTGCATTAGACTCATTTGCACTATATTCCTGCCAAGTTTTCTTAATAACCAGTTGTAATGTGAAAAAAGATTCCTATGGAAGGAAAACTATTGGTATAATACTTGATTTTTAATAAACGGTTAAAAGTTCTTTTCCCCCACTGGACCCATCTAATTTGTCTACGGTTGTTGCAATACAGATCATTTGAAATTTAAGAGTTATTCTAAGGAAGGCAAGAGCTTACTAGTGTTACCTCTAACAGAAGGGGCTCGGATAATGGCCCTGTTGCCAAGATGTCCTTTGGTGGCTGGGAAATGAAGGCTGGGAATCGCCGTGTAGGCTTGAGGGGTGTAGAATACAGGAGCGCCAAGGTAGGTTGTGGTGGGATCATAAACATGACCCAAAGAGTAGGTGTACTCTCCTTGGAGCATGGTGCCCCTTCCACCTGTGCCTCGGGTGTACCTAACATAACTGTCCTTGTCCACTGGTTTGGCTAGGGTCACTTCAATGGGGGAGCCATCCAGCACCTGTTGTAGAGAGCAAGAAAAAAACAACATGAGAAGCTATGAAGACAACCAAGTGTGGCTGGGCCCTAGTAACACATCTCCTTCTAAGTTCTATTTCTATTTCTATAACTTCTAGTTGCTGCTGTATTTACTGTTTCACTTGTATGTATCTTTTCTCTTCATGGGTTCGTGTTTCTGTGCCAGTTGAGTTTTCCCTGAGTGGTTTTGTTGGTAAATTGCATATAATCTGCCAACAGGTTTAAGAGTGACAAATTGGCCACTGTCCGTTGACATATTGGTTATAAATTTATCTGATGCAGTCACTGAGACAGAGAATTATGTAATATTTTCATGTGATATGTATTTTTTAAATTGCATTTTTATAAAATTATATAATTTAAGAAATTTTAGGTTAGGTATGGGTAGAATATAATTTCCACTGTCTGGAACAGTACAGTGAAGGTGAAAGGAAAACAATAAAGAGATCTATCAGTTGTTAACATCTTGGCATGGACGGCCCAGTGAGGCCTTTCCAGGTGCCAGCCAGCTAAATGTCTCACTCCTTAGAACAGATTCACAATAGGTAAGTTTTTGCTGGAAAAGAAGAGAGGCTCAGAAGTGGGGTCCTATTTAAGGAAGAGGAATCAATGAAGCTATTGCATTGTCCCTCATAGGTACTGCCTTGTGAAGCAACCTTTCGATCTGCTGAACAGTTGGGAACTAACAGGGATGGTGGGGGCAGTGTTGAAGTTTCTCAAGTATTGCACTACTTAAAACTTGCCATCAAGAATTATTGGAGTGCTTCTTTTCTGACACAAGTTTTTGACATTTTGCAAACAGATCCAGATGTTGAAGACAATGGCTGTGTGTAGATCTATATGTGTCACTCACTTTTATGTATTTGCTTGCATACACAAGAGACAAAGATAGTTCTCAACAAATACCTGATAGATTGATGTATTTCTTATCAAAGGGACAAGGTATTGTGAGGAAGCATTTGTGGGACTTCTTTCAAATAAGAATATTATGGGCCTCTGTTTTTCATAAAGAAAAGAAGTGATGTAAAGTGTTCTTGCAAAAATTGTCTTTCATAGCAGCTCATGATTTTTTGAGCAATTCAGTGGTTCCTAGATCATCGAAGTCTGCTGGACAAAGTTTGTGCTTCATAGTCACCCTGACTATTTTGATCAGCCTCTGGGGCAACTTGTCCCTAGTTTCATGTATCTACCCTGCTTTTTAGTAGCAGGAGCCAGTATCAAATATGTTAGATGGAATACACTGAGACATAGAATCCAGCTAATATTCAACTATCGTATATTGATGTTGATGTAAGTCGAAGAAATGGACTTGGAGTATTGAAGGAGTGGAGTGACCTTGGATATAAGATTATTTATCTTCAGTCCTGTCTCGAGGAAGATGAGAGACCCATATAGGTCTTTGTTTATAGGCACTTCCAAGTCAAGAGATGTTTCCAATGAAATGATTCTTTACTGCAAAGTCAGATTTCTTATTGTAATAAATTTTGTTTTGCATTCCTCTGCCCCCTCCAACAGTGTTTCAAACTCAGTATTGTATTTTGCTTATTTGGTTTAGACATTTCAAGAGCTAGGACAATATCTTATTAATCTGTATAGCCTGAAGTCCGGCAAAATTTCGTGCATATCCTAGACATCCACAAGTATTTATAGAATAAATGAATAATCATGTCGAAAGCTCAAGTCGTCACTTTTCTCTCCAAAAAAGCTTCCCTTCCTGACTTCCCTAACAACATTATCCTAGTCTCCTATACTGAAAACCTATAATGACTCATCCTTCTTTCTCACGGTTATATCCAGTCGGTACTTGGGTCCTTTGACTTCATCACCCATGGTCCTCTGTGGAGCTCTCTCCTACAGTCCATTCCCACCCTAGTTCAAGCCCTTATTTCTTCCCATTTGAGTGACTATGGTAGCTTTTTGCCAGCCCTTGTGGTTTAAGGGTTACAATTCGGTACTCTCACTGCCAAGGCCTGGTTTGGTTTCCCACTCAGGGAAACACACCACCCCTCTGTGGGTTGTCATAATGTGGTGGCTGTGTGTTGCTATGATGCTGAAAGCTATGCCACCAGTATTTCAAATATCATCAGGGTCACCCATAGTAGACAGGTTATAGTGGAACTTGCAGACTAAGACAGATTAGGAAGACAGACCTAGCCACCCACTTCTGAAAAACATTGTCCATGAAAACCCTATGAATAGCAGCGGAGCCAAAAGATGAGAGGATGGAGCAAAAAGACTGGCCAGGGTTCTGCTCTGCTGTGCACAGGGTCACTAGGAGTCAGAATCAGCTTGATGGCACTAACAATAAAATAGCTTTTAATTCATTCCAATTACATCTCTTTCCCTGCGCTATAAAACTTCAACTCTTAGAAAGTTAATTTCCCTAAATTGTAAATGTGATCATTACTCCACTGCACAAAAAACTTCAGTCTCATCTTATCTAGTAAATTAAATATAAATATCCATATGTATACTCAAAAGCCTTCATGGTTCCTGGACAAACTTCTTTTTGATTTTCTCATACCATATTATAATTAAATATAGTTATAATATTTAGTATATATTTAATAATAATATTGAATATATATTTAATTACATAATACATGTAAACATTGCTATTAAAATATCAAGCTATAAAAATTAGGAACAATTTGAATACTTTTCCATTGTAATTATTCTAACGTAATTATTTAGCATCTAATTTATGATTGACTGTCTCTTCTCAGCAATCATCACGTATCCTCAGGAATGTTTTCAAATTGAGAAACTCTAACCTACAAATTGTTTTCAAAGAAATAACATTTTTATGATACTAAATGTAATAATCAGTGAAGATGAAATAATATTTTGCTTCATAGACATGTACTTAAATCTGCATTAATTTTTGTTTTACAGTTTTCTTTTTGCATTTTGGGGTCAGTGTTTCTTTTCCCTGAGACTCAAACATTTCTGTAGGCCCTGGGGGAGTTCATATGCACGAGCCCCAGTGTGTCTGAAGGGCCTGAGCTGGGAGATCCTCTGCCTGCCTTCTAGATGCGCTCCCAACCATCTCTAGCCTCTCTGTACTGGGAACGTGTTCTCTATGGAGTCCTCTTCAGGGCTCCTGGGCCTTCTGGATTATGTTTGGATTTGGCCAATGGGGAGCCCTGGCAGGAGGTTGGAGAGAGAGATAACAGTGAGTTCAGGCCATTTCTTCTCCTGGCAACCTCTCTGAGAGGTCACCTTGGCCTGACTGTGTCCCTTGACCATAGATCACTACTTCTCTCAGAGAAACCTGCTCTCTACAGTTCTCTCTCCTTTAGCTTTCCCACTGCTTCTCCACCCATTGTCCCTTTGACTCCAGGAGGCCCACAAGCCCTGGGTTCCTGCACTATCTCCTCTGATGTCTCTACCCCAAACTCACCCCTTTGTAGTCAGTCTCTTTGCCATCTGTCTGCTGCTCGGACTGACTGATGCCAGACCTGACAGGTAAAACAGCCCTATGTGCATTATGTTCTAACCAAATTGATTTACTTTTATTGTTTTCCAACCATATCTTGCTGTTTCCAAATTCAGTTCTTCTGTCTAAGACTGCCTCTCATTTTCTGTTTTTTTCTTTTGGAAATCTTTCCAGGTTTTGTGGCTTCTCAGATATTATTTTCTCATATTCATGAAGACTTTCTGATTTTTTTGTGACCCACTCCTTCTTCCTTTGAATGTTCTCACCACTTTTTATCTTTTTTAAATGACATTTACCTGGTTGTGCTTTGCAAAGGTGTCTGTGTACTTGTCTTATTCCTCCGGCAGACTTTTAGCTCTTCAACAAGCATCTTTGGTATGATTCTTTGTGTGTCCCAGACATTATGTAGGATGATAAGTGGTCATGCTAAGTGAAGCAGGATAAGCTCCTATAGCTTTTTTTTAACATTTATTGGATTGATGAGTAAATATTATGATATTGGTTTCTACATACAAACCAAGAGTAAAGATATAGAAATTGGTTTTTGCCCAGACCATACTCTTGGCTAGGTGAAGAGATTCTAAGCCTTCCAGAGTTGGAAGATCAAACTCTGAGGGTAGAATGATAGCTACTTTGACATCTTTTCTGATCATTAGCCTCCAAAATACTGCACTATAAAGGTTATAATCTCTTTGGAGTAATGAGAAAAAATTTGAATTGGAAAAAATACCTTGAAATAATCTACTTCAATCCCCCCTTTCTAAGGAAACTGAGGGCAGTGACTTGCCCAAAACAGTCAAAAGAAGAGTTAGAGTCAGATGTATGAGCCACATCTCCATTGCATATGCCATCACTTCTCTATTGCTCATCTTAAATGGCCTGAGGCAGCCATGTCTGAGATGGAGAAAGCCTGAGTGCGACAGACTCGCAGAATTGTTCTTTTGAATAGAATTTCCACACCAAACTTTGATGGAATCTGTACATATTTTTTCTCTGTCTTGTATTACCTTCCCATGTAAGGCTTTCATAGCCTCAACTGCGTCTTCTCGGTTGCTGAAGTGCACGAAAGCGTAGTCTCGGATTTTCTTCACCCTCTCCACAGCACCTGTAAATGGAGTGAAAGTAGCCCCATTAGCAAGCTTGAGATAACACTGAAAACGATATATTTCAGCATTTGGCTTCCAAGAGTATTTGATTTTGGTTTTTTTGTTTTTGTTTCTGAGACTCAATATTTAGGTAAGGATCTCATTGAGAATACGTCATGTGCCCAAGTTTAAAATTCTATGCATTCAACAGAAGATTTTGTTTGTAATCTTTTTTTCTTTTTTTTTTTTGAGGAAGATAAGCCCTGAGCTAACTGCTGCCAATCCTCCTCCTTTTGCTGAGGAAGACTGGCCCTGAGCTAGCATCTGTACCAGTCTTCCTCTACTTTATATGTGGGACACCTGCCACAGCATGGCTTTTGCCAAGCAGTGCCATGTCCACACCCGGGATCCGAACTGGCGAACACCGGGCTGCTGAAATAGAACATGTGAACTTAACCGCTGCGCCACTGGGCCGGCCCCTGTAATCTTTTTACAACAACTATATTCTGCCTTATTATGATTAGTTATGAATTCGTGTTTTCCGCTTCCTAGATTATAAGCTCTTTAAAGGTAGGAGTGCAATCTTACTTTGTATATTATATAACATAAAAGATAGTAACTTATACATGGTAAAACATTTGTTGAATTGAGTCGAACTCAGTAAATGATCACCTTATAAACATGTATTTGGGTGATTGCCTTTTTAAATTTTATGGCTTTTTCTCAAGAAAAATAACTAATCTCTTTTGATTTATATAATAAAATTTTAGAGTTAGAAGACACATTAGCAGGGATTTACTTTAATTTTTCTTCAGTTCATTTTATCTTTATTTTTAACTCAAAGATTAGGAACCCATGGTTCTGACAAGGTGAGATTTATAAGAGTTCACAAAGCTAGAACTAGAACCCAGCTCTCCTATCTGCCTATCCAATACTCTTTTGATGATTAAAAAAAAAACAGTGGTCTCTGAAAGAACATTTGAGAACCAAGATAGTTCCTTACCGTGCTGCTCACGATATCTAAGGTTGGAAATGTGTACATACCCACTAATTCTACCTCGAGGAATGTCTTTTACAGAAGCACTCACACATATGCGAAAGAATCGTGCATAAGGATATCAATTACACCACTGCTGAAATAGCAAAAATTTAAAAAACTTAATGTCCATTTTCACGAGAGTGCTTAAATCTGGTACATCCATATCAAATAACACCAAGGAATCTTTAAGGAGAACAAAATAGGCCTAGATGTACTTACAAGGAAAGATTCAAGACCTATTGTCAATTAAACCTACCAAATAGTAAGTATAATGTTATATCACTTATGTTTTAGAAATCCCAGCCCATATATATGCGCACATAAATATGGATACACACCCACAGAGGAAGAGAACTGGGAAGGTAGAGACCAAATTGTTAATAGGAATTATTTCAGGAATGGGGAGAAAAGTTGGGGAGAATGAAGGGAACTTCTATATTGTAAATTACGTACTTTGGTATTTTACAAATATTTGCAATGTTTATTTATATTATCTGTGTAATAACAAAATAAATAACATCAGCCTAACCTACTTTTATGTAGAGGAACTGCGGTATATGTTGAAGTAACACGTAGAAATAAAAAAAGTTCCACCAAGATGGTTGCTTTATATTTTACATTTTATTATTAAAATGTTGTTAAAATATATTGTTGCTTACTCAGGTTTAAAAAACAGAACTCTTGCCTAGAATAAAGGTAAGATAGGAATTTGTTTAACACTAACTTGTTAGTTTAGCGTGCAGATTATCCTCTTTTAGTTACGCTCTCTCGGGCATATCTTAAGAGACCAGGTTTCCTTCTCCTGTCCTTAGTTTCAAGAGAACGTAGGATGAGACTTTATACCAGGGAGGATCAGGAGAGGAGAGAAGTCCTCTTTTCTTCTCTTTATCAGTTATCTATCCTCTTAAATTCAAGGACATTTAAGGGCATTCAAGAGCAATTAGAGTCTCTACTTTACCACATGCTTCAATGGCTATAAACTGTCTTCCTTTGGAATAATGGCAGGGCTGTAACGTGAGGATAATTTTAAAACATTGTGGTTCTTCTCTTCTGTCTCTCCACGGCATTTGACCCTTGACTTCTTATGACAATGCCTGTACAGAGCAAAACTGTCTGGCCAGGCTGAGAAAATAAATAAAGGTATCTATATGAGACCATGAAGCGTGGGACGTGTAATTAACTGAACTTCCAACATGGTCTCTATTCCTTCAGTGTCAGGTGGGGTAATTATCGTGACTCGACCCCATGGCTTGTTTTGGTAACTGAGAAGTAAGGGGGGGCCAATGAGTACTTCTACTTTTCCAGCCTTTGCCCTATTTGTTCTTCAGTGCCATCTTCAGTGTAGACTCCACTAGCTGTTAGCTCTCTGAGAACAGATCTGCTTCAGAGGCATCTTGGTATTGTCTTCATCCAGTTCCTACCTAATGCCTTGTTCATGGGGACTGCTCAATAAATATACGTGGAATAAGTGAATATTGTCAGTTAATTCACATTCCAACTTCTATCACCCACATTAGTTAGGTGGCATTTCAAATGATAGTGGGTTTAGCTGTTCTCAAATTCTGCTTGCAGATATTGAAATGGGCTTTTTGGAGCAATAATATCCAGCTTCACCTGCTTTTGGAAATCTTGATATATAAAAATTTAGCCTTATAAAACAGACAAATTAAAAATTGAGAGTTTATATCATAAAAGAGTGTTTTCTCTACAACAGTATTCACCACATGGCTTATTTTAATGTGCTCATTCTTTACTGTATAAGAGTTTGTATTTTGATTGGTCATCATTTGGCAGAGGGTCAGGCCATAAAATATCAGTGGTCATCCATCAGCAATGATGAGAAAGACGTTCTGAAACCATAATGGAGGAATTGGAAAAATATTACTCTGTTTATTATGAACTTGTCGGCGGCACATCAGTTACCTGCAGAGAAACACACCTGCAGCCCAAAGGGAAGATTATGAGAGGGCCGTGGTTCTCCAAGTGTGGTCCGCAGCCCAGCAGTATCAACTTCACTAGGGAGCTGAATAGAAATGCAACGGGTTGGGCTTCATCCCAAACACGCTGAATCAGAAACTCTGGGGGCGAGGCCAGCAATCTGGTCTAACAAGCCCTCCAGGTGATTCTGATGCCACTAAATTGCTTCAGGAAAGTCAGATTTTGTAGAATGACTATAATTGGAATTTCAGCAGATACCCTTAGGCTACGTGGTGGAGGAACAGACGTTTCAGGCCCCAGTTGGTGTTCTGATCATCATTTGTTTCTTCGAGTGGCAATATAATATTTTCGGGTTAATGAGGGTTAAAATAATAGTTGATCAAATACTTGCCAGGAATATTCAAGTTCCTCTGAGGAATTCAAACTTTGAAGAGAGTTTTTAAAGAGTTATTTTCCTGTTTCTCTCCACAAATTTTTCTAGGTAAGTATAAACATCTTTTTCACTGGAGAAGAAACTAGTTAGCTCTGACTTTTTCCTTCTAATCCTGCAGATGTCTGCAGGTTGTCCACCCTCTGCAATTCTTATTGTTTTGCAGAGTGACAAAAAGAAGCCACACATCATTACTGCGCCCTGAGAGTTGTGCCACCAGCCTCACAATGTGCTGTGGAATAGCTGGACGCACTAGGCCCAAAAGGAAAATGGGAGAGAGAGAGTGAGAGAGCAAGCAAGCGAGCCAGAGAGAAACAGATCTGGCGTTCATTATTTTTATTATAGTTAATAGGGCCTGGGTGTGTGTTTCTCTTCAATACGCAGACTCTGAAAGCTGATAACCAGTAAGTATGAGAGGAAGCAGCCTTTTAGTAGTTTCTCATTCTAGCTCTTTCCAAAAAAAATGGTAATGTTTTAATTAGGTAAAAATCAGAAGTATTATTCACTCTGGGAAGGTAGAAAGTCAACACAAATTGGGGGGTGGGGAGGAGCAACACTTATGCACACACATATCAGTTCCTATGCCCATAAGTGAATCAACTTTCAGGTCTCAGCTTACACGTCACTTCTAAACATGAGTCTTTTCTGCACCCAAGAGTAGGCTGTCATTACATCTTAAACTCCTTCCATACACACATCACACCTGTTATCTACACCCATGGTGCCTGACACATAGGAGCTACTGAAGAAATGACAGTTGAATGTATGAGTGAGTGAATGGAATAAGGATGGGGCTTGGGGGTCATATAATTGTTAAGAACATGCTCTTAACCAGATCTGGGTTCAAATTCAGAATTTGCCACTTGCTAGCTATATGACCCTCGACAAGCTACTTAACCGCTCTGGGTTCTGGTTTTCTTATCTAGAAAATAACGGAAGTAATAAAGTAACCTACATTGTAGGGTGGTTGTGATGGATAAGTGACACGTGATGTGAAAGTGCCCACTGCGATGCCTGTCTGGCACTTAGTGATGCAGTTAATCATTTGCCATCTCTATATTAGTCATGGACTCACAGCGAGGGGTATGGAGCCACGCCATTATACTAAAATGGCAGGGAAGGCAGAGTTCCTGAAGGCCAGAAAAAGACAAATCTCTGGTGAATCTTTTAAAAGGGAGAAGTGATATCCTTACTAATTACCTTCAGAACAAATCATCAGCTTATTCTGTTACACTTGAAACAGCACCCAGAGTTGGAAACAGCTAACAAGACTATGTGAAGTGAATATTCTCAGGTAGTTTTAACATGATGGTACCATGGTTCATACTTATCAACAACCTGGAGAATTATTGCCTGGAGACAGAAAAATTCTCATTTTTGGAAAGATGTTACCACAGTGATAAACTTAGGCCAGAGTGTTTTCCAAGACACTAATCCCTCAAGATGGTCTGCCAAAAGGCAGGATCCACGGTCCAAAAATTTGGGAAATGTGGCAGTCTACATCTCTTCTTTTGGAAACTTTCAAAGCATATTACAAGGTTAAGGACTCTGATGGGTCCCACAACAAAAAAAACCTGTTTAATTTTGCTGAACCTGGTGTTTACAAACTTATTTGACCACGGGCCCCTTTTATCAGTAACATCTGCTGACTACTAGTTTGTAGAATTAATGTTCTGTGGAACTGGCTCTGGGAAATGCTTGTTTGGACCTTGTCTCTTGAAATGCTTTACCTGTCTCAGTGTTGTAGCTCCTATGTGAGAAAAAAGAGATGGCGAGTCGATCTCACGGCTTAAAATTGATACTGAAAAGTATTGACAAAATGAGCAGCAAATAATTATCCCTCTCCCACTTCCCTCTATTCTTTTCTCTTCCTCTTCACCCAAGTGAGTTTCCAAAATTAATTGTCACCTCTTTACTTATGTAATTGAAGTCACAATCATATTCCATTAGACCAGTGGTTCTCAACTGGGGGCAGTTTTGCCCTCTAGAGTACATTCGGCAATGTCTGGAGATGTTTTTGGTTATTATGTCTTGTGGTTGCTACTGGCATCTAGTGGGTAGAGGCCTGGGATGCTGCTAAACCTCCTATAATGCAGAGGACAGATCCCCACAACCAAGAATTATCTGACTCTAAATGTCAAGAGGACTGAAGTTGAGAAAACCTCCTTTAAATCTATAGTTATGGCCGTGCATTCATTAATGAAGTAAATATTTATTGAGGTTAAGCCCCAGGCACAGAGACAGGGGTTGAGGAGACGATAGGAGCAAAAAGAACTCATGGAATTTATAGTTTAGTGAAGGAAATATGTAAACATTAAGTAATCACACAGATAAATGTAAAATTATAGTATTGATAAATGTTGTAGGACCATATATCCCTATTTTCTAATCCAAAGGTAGGAATATAGTGGTTTACATGCAGTTATGACAATGATAGATGAAAGCTATCCTATTTAAAGTTATGGGAAGTCATCTCAAGCCTAAGTCTTTTTAAAGTACATTTTGAAAAAGTAGTCTTCTATAGTATGTCCTACCTGGTTTGATATTATTGAATTCTTTCTCAATCATCTCTTCAGAGGTAGACAGCATTAGGTTTCTTACATAAAGGATTTTCACTGAAGACATTGTGTCTTCATCAACTTCTACTTCCGGTTCTGCCCAGTCTACTGCAATAGGATGTCCCCATAACTGAATTCTTCCTGTTGAAAAGGATCACAAGTATGATTAATAATATAGAAATCAGGACTATATCATCTCAGTTCATACTGACGGCTTTTTAAACTGAACTGACCCGCGAGGTCTTGCTTGAGCTAGAAGACCAATATTAAAAGAGGTGATTATTGATTTTAAGAGACATTCCAAATAAATGTGAGAGCTGGCTTGAAGGGAGTTCTATATGACAAGTGACTTACTATAATGACTGAGTATAAAGGGAACTAGGATGTGGTTAGAAATTGAACAGAAATGAGGCAGCAGTGGGCATGTTTGGGTCTTAGAACAGCTTTCACAGGGTGAATGTAGTAGTTGAAGGTGAGATGGCAAAAGGGGAGAAAGGAAAAGAATGGATTTAGGGCTCAGACATAGAGTCTGACTTATGGTGCATTAGAAAAGTCACTAAGAAGTATGGATGCTGCTGTTGGAATCTGTGTGGCCAGGTGTCACCACTGAGCTGTCCAAAAAATGGTGCATGGGCAAGGGTGGGTAGGGTTCAGGACTCCCTAGTTTGTTCTCTGTCCCTTACACTTGGTCAGGGCTCCAGTGGACTGTGTTCTCTCCTGGTTCTCTCTCTGTCAGAACATGAACAACTTGGGAATCTGGAGAAAATTTTGTTTTTTATCCAAATGAAGAAGACAAAGAGCAATGGAAGTGTATGATAAGAAATTGAACTCTTCTTAAAAGTGTAGTTGTTATCCATGACTGTGCATATTTGTGTACTCCTATTGTTACAATTTATTGTGTCTCTCAGTATACTATGTACTTCACATGTGCTGTCTCAGTTCCTTCTCACGTAACTCTATAGGGAGGAAAGTGATTTTCTCAATTGTGTAGAAGAGGAAATGAGCTTTAGAGAGGATAACTGCCAGCTCTGTTTCATTTCTCCATCACTCCCTTTTGTTTTTTGTAACTGAGCCCTGTACCCCTACATAGTGCAGATCCTTGCTGAAATGATGAGAAGAGGGTGAGGGTCAACTCAATGTCTAAATTTGATTTGAAATCATCTTTGCTTTTTGTTAGTTGTTTCAGAGTGAGCTATACCCTGGAAGCAATAAAAAGCATGGGAGAACAAAATCAGAAATTCCCAATATTGATAAGGGTTTAGTTGTTTAGTTATTACACATGGGAGGCAATTATTTTCAACAAAAATGCATCTTTTTATTCTTTGAAAAGTCAGTGAAACATCTGTGGCACTGACATTCTAAAACCCAAAGAATAGACTCATCCTAATGAGTTAGCTGATCCTAGAGAGGCTGACTCTTGCTACCCCAGCCGTCTGGATACCTTGTTCTGCACTGAATCCCAGAGGATAATTTTCTTCATTACTCTCTCCCTTCCCCTCCCCTCCTCTCCTCTTTTACCCCTTCTTTTCTGTTCCGTTCTATTCCTTTTGCTTCCCTTTCCTTCCTTTTCTATGCTTTACATAGACTTTGCTGTTGTCTTACCCCAAGATCCCTATGGCTCCCAGCTGACTCTGGTGTCTGTAGCCCAGTGGTTCTCAACTTTGGCCCCATGCTGAAAGAGCTTTTAAAATACTGACACCAGGGGGCTGGCCTTGTGGCCGAGTGGTTAAGTTCGTGTGCTCTGCTTTAGCAGCCCAGGGTTTCTCTGGTTCGGATCCTGGGCGCTGACCTAGCACTGCTCCTCAAGCCATGCTGAGGCACCATCCCACATAGTAGAACTAGAAGGATCTACAACTAGAATATACAACTGTGTACTGTGGGGCTTTGGGGAGAAGAAGAAAAAAAAAGTGGCAACAGATATTAGCTCAGGGCCAATCTTTAAAAAAAAAATACTGCAACCTGGGTTCCACTCAATAGTGTGCTGGACCCAATTCCTATCCACTTGCAAGAATAGACTTAAATTTTCAGAATTTTGTGAGCCGGCTGACATCACCCTGGTAGCTTGAAATTAGCCGCAGTGGAAGTGCTAATACCATGGAAACACACAAATGCTACAAATCAGGGCTTTTGATTTTCCCCTGGGAGTTGGCTGTTAAAGATTTACTAGCTCATCACTGAGCCCTAGACTCTCCTTCCTAATTCTGAGGTAAGTGGTCTCATCCTCAGGAATCTTAAAAGCACCTCAGTTCCTTCTAACATGCAGCCAAGGTTGAGAACCACTGTTCTAGTACATTGGCTTTTGCCTTCCCAGCCTGGGACCATGGTAAGCCATCCACAGGTCTGAAGATCTACAAAAGGCTAAAATGGAGAGATGTGAGAGGAGGTATGGGAAGCAGTGATTTCTACAAACATCCCCGTGGAAGTCAGTGTTGCAGAGTGATTGGGAACACGGGCTTTGAAAAGAGACAAATTCAAATATCAGATCAATGATCCTGGCTAGAAAACATCATCTTTCTAAGCATCAATTTCCTCATCGGTAAAGTTGGGATAATAAAAGTACCTACTTATTAGGGTTGTTGTGAAGACAAAAGAAGGTGATGCATATAAGGGACTTAGTTTACCACTTTTAAATGATGATTCAATAATGCACTCTCCTCAACATTTTTTTGATCTATTTTCTTGTATATTTCCTCAGAAAATGCACTTGTTGAGTGCAATGTTTAGGTATGATTTTTTTCTTTCAGAATCTCCCATGCCACTCAGAAGACAGCAGTGTATGTTGTAGATGCTTAATACGTATTTCCCTGCTGGGTAGTTCCCCACGTGTTCCTGTTCACCTCCCACGCTGGTGAATGCCCAGTATCATTAGTTGGTAGACTTAGCGGTGGATCACAAAATTTGGCTGCACAAAAGAATCATCTGGAAAACCTAAAAACACCAGCGCCCCAACTTTGCACCCCAGAGAAGATTCAATTGAGTAGAGGTTGATTTGGGAAGTGATAGTGTTTAAAAACCTCCTCAGGTGATTCAGATTTGCAGCCCACGATGGATAATCATTGATTGAGATTCCTGGTTCTTAAACTTGTGGGCCCAGGAGGAGTAGCATCCTGGGAACTGGTTATAAATGCAAATTATCAGGCCCCACACCAGATCTACGGAATCAGGAACTCTGGTGGTGGGGCCCAGCAATCTGTGCTTTAACAAGCCCTCCCAGTGATTCTGATGCAAGCTAACCACTGTTAGAACTTTTTTCAGAGCATCCTTAGAACACTTTGATAGCCTCTGAGTTGGATGCAACAACTTTGTTCCATACACACCTCAGCAAAGATACATTTTGTCAAGAGGGAGCTGCCACTGTTAACAGAGGAGGTAGGTGGCTGGGGAGCCAATACATCATTTTAGACAACAATTTTCTGTCTCCAAGTCTGGATCAATTAAGAAGGAAAAGCTTCTTGTGGTCCTTGCTTATCATGTTTCTTAAAGATCTCCTCATTCTTTCAAACTAGGCTCTCCAGAGGATTGCCAATTACTGAAATCCTTTGCTGTTGTTGAATCTATGGTGAGGTAATAGGAAGAGTGTCCAAATGGGTAATGGATTTTACTCTCAGGCCTCAGTAGAAATGAAGCAGTTTGCTTTGGCTGGCTTTTCATCACTGTGCCTCGTCTTGTTGGTCTGCTGATGAGGCAGTCTGACTAACATCCAGTTGAATGAAACTCAGCTGAGACCAATTCAAAGGGCCATAGGCAAGGGGCTGCCTCAGATCATGATGAAGATAGGTAGTGAGGGAGGAGAGCAAAATAGCCTCTATATTGTGGGATCCTGGACGGGGAATTTGTAAGGAAAAGTCAGGACCTTGGGTAGAAGCATAACAAAATGCTTGAGAATTCCTGAAGCCCAGCTGCTCAACCCTGCCCGTCCTAGTCAGCTCAACTCAAGTAGACAGAAACTCTCTCTGTGGGTAAATATGCTCTTTTCTTTTAAGAAAGGGGAAGCTGATTGGAAGTTTGGATTCTCCAAGAACAACTGATTGTCTGGTCCCTGAAAACTTTCTCCCATTCTGGACCCTCTTTTACTGTCATCCTCCCCCACTCCCAAAATGATTGTACATATTTATTTTTACGAATAATGAAGGAGGAAAGTGACAAATGTGGAATGGAGTAGTTGCCTCCGGTTTCTCAAGAAAGTGGTGGCCTGAGCTGGGGCTTTGAATGCCATGAGTCAGCAGAGAGGGGGAGGGGCAGGTCATTCTAGTAGGAGATACAGCAGCGTTAGGAATAAGGGAGTCAAAAATGATCACGGCATCATCTAGGACATTGAGGAGTTTGTCCTGATAGAAAGGAGAGTTTTTATTGGGAAATAGAAGGTAGCAAATATGGTTTTAAGGAACTGGGGCCATGAATGAAAGGCCTTCAGAGACAGACTCAGAGATTTACTCTTTATCTCATATGCAGCAAGGAGTTGGTGAATATTTTTGAACTGAATGACACCATTCAGCCTATCAACAGATAGAAATTGAATTCCTACTATTTGCAAGAACTTGTTGCAAGGATGACGTCATATTTTGGGAATACTAATCTGGTGCTAATGTTCAGGATGGAGTAGGCAGAGGGTGGGGTAGACCAAAGGGAGAGAAGAGCTGGGAGAATAATTAGGAGATCTTAAAAAAATAATCTAAGGTTGGGAATATATGTGTTTAGACTATAATGATGGCCTGAGAACAGCATGGGTATGAGGGACTTTTCAGTGGCAGACTTGTTGGTGTTGAAGAAGAGAGGAGTTGAAGAGGATAGCAAAATATTAAGTTCAGGTCACTGAGGGGCTAGGTATGCCCTAGGAGGGGTGTTAGTGAGGCTATGCACCTGTGAGTCAGATGACTTGACCATTGGGTACTGAGGAAGTAGTGAATGGAAGCTTCAACATTAAAAATATCCACCTCTCTGGTAAATTCAGCAAGTTTTGGAGCTATCGCATATTTTTTTTTCACTTTACACCACCTTCATGAAAATATTATTAAAAAATCTTCCCCAAGCTCAGAAGCCATCTTCCAATTTTGAAAATTTCTAGAGGGCTAATCCTACTGTTGGTTTGTTTTGTTTTTGAGAATGTGTATAAGGGCAACATAAATCTAGGTGTTTATATTGTTTGGGTTTTGATTCTGGTGGATCTCCCATTATGTTCATGAGAAGAGTTGATTCCAGTGTGTCCAGTCTGTCATTCTTAAAATCCTCTTATCACTTTGATATCTTACTTTGTGTAAGTTTTAGTGAATACTTTAGAGTGAGCAGAGGACTTTCAACAACTTTTCCCTCAGTTGATCTCACTGAGGCAGTGGTTTGGTGGAGGTTTTTAAACTCAGGGATTGATGGTTACTGCCCAAATGAGACCTGCCTTTGGTTGTAGCCCCTAACAAAGGTGCTTCTCTTTGGAGAGCTATTATTTTTATTCCCCCAAATTAGGCAGAAATTTTTAGACACTAGGGAGTCATAATAAAAGTATATCACTTAATTGCCATTAGGATAATGTATCACTTGTAGGTTTATTATTTCTACATTGCAATGGATAATATACCCTATTTCTAATTTAAAAAACCTACATATAAGGATAACTGTTGATTGATATGTTTACTTTTAAGAAGATTCTTCACTCTAAGGATTCATTATAGGTTACTCTAGCTTCAAGTTCTGCATTTCTCCAGTGTGTGCATATTAGACAATGCATGAAATGAATATGTTTCAGAACCCAGTCTGAGAAAACCTCAGGGAACTGAATCTACTGTGAGGTAGATAAGAAGGGTGAAGAATTTAAAATATAACATAACCAAAGACGTAGAGCAAGAAAAGAACAGCAAGCGTCTGTTTCTTTGCTAAGGAGCACAGCAGTGTGAGGCAGGAAGGACAGAGTGGAAAAGTCTCGTCTTTGAGGAAGGAGTGCTAACCTGGTAGAAGTTTCCTCCTGGCCATAGCCGCTGCCCGGTGACTCTCATACTCCACGAAGGCAAAGCCCCGGTTCTTGGTTTTGTCAGCAGCACTTGGGTAGACAATGACGTCGACAACTCCTTCGGTGACCTTCTTCATCTCTAATAAGATTTCTTCTCTCTTTTTGGTTTTTGGGATTCCTCCCACAAATAATCGGCAGTTGTCCACGCTGGCACAAACCCCTAAGAGACGCCCATTTCTGCAAAAAGGGCAGGCATTTTGATTGGTGACAATCCTTGTGTGATTAAGGTTTAAGATAGAGGTTGAAAATGTATGGTGCTGGAACAGATATGACCTGCAGATGTGGGATGTCTGGTCTTCATAGTGTTGAAACTGTTTTTGGAGAGTTGTGACTGCTTTTGAGAAATCGGAAGATCTGTTAATATTAGCTGTACATTTTTAAAGGAAAAAAAAAATTGAAGCTGAGTAGCATCTGCTCTCTTTAGAATGGGTGTGGATTCACCAGTTGTCATCAGTCCTCGCCACTCCCTAATGCATCCCCAATACTGAGGCCTTTACTCCTGGCCCGCGTTACTCATGTCACCCGCCTGGGCCTGGAGGCATTTGAGTTTCAGCCCCGGTGCTCTTTTCTTTCCCAGCCAAATAGAGACGCTATTCTGACATGATTGCTATTAAAAATAGCCCCATATACTGGAACAGATTTTCCCATATTATTTTATTTGGCCTCCACAAGGAACCTGTAAGATGGGCAGAGTAGGTGTTATTTCCATTTTACAGCTGAAGAACTGGAGACTCCAAGAAATTAAGTAACTTGCTTAAGATTTTATAGATTTTAATATTTTTAATATTTTAAATTTTCATAGATGAAACTGGCCTCCAGATTCTCGGTTCAGTCCCTGTTTCTTCTGCTGTACAGTGTTGCTTATTAGCAAGTTGACATATTCCTTCACTGGCAGAATACAGATTGATTAAGTTTTCTGGTTGACACTTGGCAAAATGTGTCAAATGTCTTAAGTGTGCATAACCTTTGATCAAATAATGCTCCTTCCCAAAGTGACCTTGGGAAACAGAGGTGAGCACCAAGATTTATATGAGGATATTCATTGTTGTTATTTAAAATAGCCCCCAAATTGGAAATGAGCTAAATATCCCACCAGATAGGACTGGTTTAATGTATCTCAACTGAGATGTTATTGTTCCTGTAGCACGTTTGTTGTCCTGGTTCTTCCCCACTCAATGCCAACGGCCACACATTAGGTCCTCCAAAAACACCTCTTCATCCTTCTGAATGTCTCACAGGGTGGACAGTACTGCTCCTGGCTGAGGATCACTGATAAACAAAAGATAGGCGTTCACACAACAGAATGCTCTCCAGTCATTAAACACAGTAATGTGGAAGAATATACGTTGGTTAAAAAAAACAGTTCACAGTATGCTGCTGGGTTAAAAAAAAAAAGCTTAAAAAACCCCTCTATTCCAAAATATCATTTATTTAGAAATTATATTATTTTTGATAGAGGGCCAGTCAGGTATCAGTTACCAGCAGGGGGAGTCTAGAGTCTCCATATCCTATTTTTAAACGAGTGTGGTTTGTCGGGCACGTTTCCCAGAATTGCTTGGAGACAAAAAGCCATCTCTGAAAAGCTGAGGGCACAACTTTAATGTCTTCAGAAGCCAGGCATTTAGATGATGCTCAGTGAATATTTGATGATGATGATGAGACTGATATGACAATTGTGGGTCTTTTCCGGATAAGAACCTTATCTCTCCCCTGAGACATAGTGGCTAAAAGCAAATCGAAGGTTATTCACTTCTCTACAAGAAAAGATCTCTCTCTGGCAGGATTGATCCCAGGCAGCATGGAAGTAGGTGAGGTTGGTTCTGGAGTATTTATTCTGCTATTTCACATTCCATTTACCCTACTCCTTAAATTTTAAAGTCACTCTGTGCCTTTACCTTGCATCTGACATCCATCCTGAACTTTGACTGGGATGTTGGCCACAAACTTAATTTTTTCAAATGCTCTGTCATATTTCTCTTCTTCCTTCTTTCCCTTCTCCTCCTCTGCCATCACCACTGGCAAACGTGTATAGAGCATTGATATGTGTCAGGCACTGAGTTTTACATGCATTATCTGATTTATTTTTCATAACACCTGATGAAGTAGGTATATTTTTATCTCACTTTGTAGATGAAGACACTGAGATTCACAGAGGATGCTGTTATTTATTAGTGACCGTAGTAGGTTGATTGTATTCATTATTTGTACACTATCTATTTTCAAAAAGTATTGAGAGTGGGTGTGTAAAAATGTGTAACAATATGTTAAGTAGATACAGCAAAATCTGTTGATTCCTCACATAGTCAATTCTATATCCATCTCAACTTAGATGCCATTTTGGGGTTAACCCTTACTGATAAGATGTCTAGGTTCCATGAACGACCAAGGAATGGGGAATCTTCAAATCCCTGAAACCATATAACTGTAATATTATTCCAAATATGTTCAAAACACTTTAGTATATGTTATTTAATATGATGGATGCTCAGGACATCTCTGAGTGATCAGATGCTATTGATAAAACTGATGCTGAAAGAGGTCAGAGGATTTGTCCAAAGGAACCCATGCTTTTATATCCTGATTCCCATGCCAAATAATCTTCCACAGACCAGACAGAGCTCTTTTGGATCCATGGAGGCAACAGTAGGAGAGCCTCCTTTTGATTTTCCCCAAGACTCTATTCCAGAATCCAACCTTGGGACCGAATGGCTAGGATACGAGTAGTTGCCAAATCCAATGGATCTTTTTGTTGCTAAGCGATTGAAGAAAAATGACCCAGTAGTTGATTGACTTACAGAATTTAAGGAGAATACATGACTTATTTAGGCCCATAGGAAGTGAGAGAAAAATAATGGTAGGAAATCTACTCTTCCTATATTCATCAAATTTAAGATTTCATCAATTCTAAGGTGCATTTCTGTTACTGAAAGGAAATATATGTGAAAAACTGCATCTTAGGATTGATGACTGTGCTAATATGTAAGAATTCTATCATTTATTGACCTATTACTGTGTTTTAAACACAGGGCTAAACATTTTAAAAATCTTTATAGTATTCCCACAAAAGACCTGTGAAATGAGTATTATTATCCCCACTTTATAGATGAGGAATTGAGGCTCGGAGAGGTTAAGTTACTTGCTGGCACTTAAGTGAAGCCTTTCTGACCCCAAAGCTATTGCTTTGTAATTGCTGCACAGTTTAAAGTAGTTTTTAAATCTTTCTTCTAGGTGGCCCAAGGCTTCCTTTAAGAAAGAATTTATGACAGTTCCTTCTCCAAGTGAAGGTTTTAGAACTCAATTTCATGAAGTTAGCCCCATTTCCAGTTTATAAAAATCAGTTATTGATTGCACAGGGTCAGTTATGCTCTAGAATCCTCCACTAGTCCCATTGTTTTAAGTATTGCCTATATTTGGCTGGCCCCCAAATTCATATTCCAATTGCGACCTCTCTCCTGACTACAATATCATACACTCACCTCTTCAACACCTCTCCTGGGATGTCTAATGTGCATCTCAAAAGTAAATTGCCCCAAGCAGAGCTCTTCATGTTTCCTGCTCTTCTTCCAGTCTTTTCCATCTCAATGACACTATCCCATCCACAGATACTTGGACCCAAATCCTGGGTTTCCTCGCTGAACTCTAAATTCACTCACACTCTAAATCCAATAGGTAGCCAGTCTTGTCTATTCAACCTCCAAAATAGATCCCAAATCTGACCCCTTTTCACTGCTTCCACCGCTAACCCCCTTGTGCAGCCACCGTCATCTCTTGTCTAGATCCAGACTGCTGCAGGAGCTTTCTCATTGGCTTTTCTCTGTCAATCCTTACCCTGCTGTGGTCCGTTCTTCACCCAACAGCCAAAGTAGTGTTTTAAAAACCATGAGTCTAATTAAAAGCCTCCTATTATTTCCTCTTTTTTTTTTTTTTGGGGGGGGGGGAAGATTAGCCCTCAGCTAACTACTGCCAGTCCTCCTCTTTTTGCTGAGGAAGCCTGGCTCTGAGCTAACATCCGTGCCCATCTTCCTCTAGTTTATACGTGGGACGCCTACCACAGCATGGCTGCCAAGCAGTGCCATGTCCGCACCCGGGATCCGAACCAGCGAACTCCGGGCCACCTAGAAGCGGAACATGCAAACTTAACCGCTGCGCCACCGGGCCGGCCCCCTATTATTTCCTCTTTTTGTTAGAATACAATCTAAATTCTTAATCATGGAGTATAAGGCTCTCCAACTGTATTGCCTTCAACTCTCCTCTCTAGTCTGTTCTAGCTGCATTACTGGCTTTGCTTCTGTTCCTCTTACATATCAAGCTGTTCTCCTTTTGGGATCTTTGCACTTACTCTTCTTTCTTTCTCTGGAATAATCTTCCTCCAGGTCTGACTATCATGGCTGACTCCTTTCCTTCAAGTCTCAGATCAAATTTTACTTTCCTCGTGGCGTATTTCCTTAAATATGCCAAGCTAGACTAGCCACCTCGACACACAGCTTTCCATTTCCTGGTTTTATTTTCTCATACTCTATTTAAAAGAGTATATATATCTTATATATCCACTTGCTTACTGTGAAGCTAGGAAAGTGTACCTTGATGCTTCCAAGATTTTAAACAGTGACCAGCACATATTTTTGAAGTGGATAAATTAATGAATTTTGTTTCTTTGAACATTTCACAGAACTTAGTTTGACACCTTATATACTATTGATATTAAATGAATATTTCATTAAATTGATTTTCACCAAGGAAAAGCACTAACCTTTTCTATTTCTGGTTTGGAGGTCTTTTGCATATGCTGTATTAGATACACTTGATAGAAGAACAGATACAGGTGCAAAGTGTGATTCACTTTTAATCTGAAAGAGGTAGATCTTACCTAATTTCATAATTATTAAGTTGCTTGATCGCATTCTTGGCTTCCTGTTTATTTGAGAATGTTACAAACGCATATCCTCTATTGTTGCCATTAAAATCCATCATCATCCTCATTTCATAAATTTTACCAATCTACAAGTAATAGAAAAAGAGAAAAGTCTTATTTATACATTTATACTTCCAAGTGAAACATGCACACGCAATGTTTTCTGAAGTCTGTCTTTGCTGTTTTGGCATTTGCATCCCGTGTGGAATGGTTTGCATGTTTTCATGCTGGGTTCAGATCTGTTATCTGACTCATGGGCAAAGTCAAGTTAAATAAAGAAGACGTGTACAAGCAGCTTTTCAGCGTGAGTTAACAGAATATGTTTTGGACAGAGCAAGTGACCTTTCATCACACAATTATCTGTGGATTTATATGTCTTAGAGACCTGAAAATGCATTTGTCATCAGAAGTACAATTTCTTGACAGATTTGTCCTTGCCCTCTATATTGGCCTCTGAAATCTCCAGAGTTTTATCTTTGCTTAGTCATACTCTCTCACTGATGGTTAAAATCCAAGAACAATCATTTGGAACCTTGCTAAACTGGCTTCTTAGCTGTCTTTTCCCCCACCATGATATCAAGATGAACACAGAAGATGTGTTTCAGAGGCAGACCTGGGGAGCCCTGTCATTTTCTCAATCTGTGGCTGAAGGTAAACACTAGTCTTACACAGCTAACCCAGGGCCAGGACCTCCACAGTAGGGGGGCACTCACACTCTCCTTCTGGCTACAGCTCCTCTGCTTTGCCTACACACTGCTCCCTCCTGCTGCCCTAAATGTTCTCTAGCAATCTAGACTCAGCAATTTATTATTGCTGGCTGCTGTAGGGAGGGTGGCTCATATAGATAGGAGAGGCATGTGTGGGAAAAGAGGGGTCATTAAGCATATGCTATTATCTCAGTGGTAATAGCCTCACCCCAGCCCATTCCACCTCAAAGTATTCAGTGATGGACACCTATTTCTTCTGGGCTCTTTAGGAGAGAGTTCAAGCGTGTTTTGTCCTGGTGTTTCAGGTGTTTCTTGGTGTTCATTCTCAGGTTCAGTGTATAAGTTTCTTACAGGATTAAGTCCTCATAATTTGCACATATGCCAAGTGAGACTGTTTGTATAAAATTAGGAGCAGTTCTGAATCTGAGGCTGAATTATACACACACACACACGACTGATTTTGGCATTTAGGGAAAGAAATAGCTGAATTCTCATTTTTGCTAAACTTTCTAGGAATGTGGTTATTTAAACACCGCTTGGTAAACTATTGAAAGTAAATTTTAATTTTGTCTTCTCCTTTAACTTTGGGTTTGTTAACAATATCATTGGGAATTAACACTGAGGAAATTTATTCCTTAATTATATAACAACTTTTAGAAACCATGTTCTTAATCTTTCAATGCGTTAGGGCAAGCAAGAAATTCAACTTGTAGAAGGAAATTTCGTTCTGGATCAATATGTATAGGCATGCATTTTTTCCATGACACACTTTCTTTTTATGTGAAAATGTTGTGCTTTATAAAACCATATTAAAATGTCAAGTTGGAACAATATCTTATTTTAAAGATTTTTTTTTTTGTTTTTTCCTTTTTCTCCCCAAAGCCCCCCCGGTACATAGTTGTGTATTCTTCGTTGTGGGTCCTTCTAGTTGTGGCATGTGGGACGCTGCCTCAGCGTGGTCTAGATGAGCAGTGCCATGTCCGCGCCCAGGATTTGAACTAACGAAACACTGGGCCGCCTGCAGCAGAGCGCGTGAACTTAACCACTTGGCCACGGGGCCAGCCCCAACAATATCTTATTTTAGACAGGTTGTTGTAGCGATATTTTAGATTGATAAACACATTAAGTTGCCAGTGAGATGGCTATGCCACTGGAAATTTGGGATCAAAATATAAATTTGGAAGTCATCAGCAATAGTAGTTTAAGCTGTCACTAACAGGAGAAGGAACTGAGTCAAAGCAGTGATAATAAGGGGGCAGTCGTTAACAGCTACGGAGGTTTTAACTTTGTCCATGACTGGGGAATGACAATTGGAAAAGAAACCATCATGGACGAAGAAGAATGGAGAGTGAAAGCAAAGTGAAGAAAGCAGTACTTTTCCCTTGAAAGATGAGAAAATTTATATTAAATTTGGACTCACTTTTTCACATAATGGTATAAGTTCATCCTCAAAAAGGTCTCGAGGAAGTTTTCCGATAAAAATTTCACAGCCCCTTTCTGGAGGTGCAGCGTCCCAACCAGGTGGAGGGCCACCATATTTTCTCTGTCCATTTTCCTGTAAATCCAGTGTGGATTGTATGGAGGAGAGAAGAGAACAATACAATCTTCAGTTTGAGTTCTTCGATTATTTTCAAAATCATTTCGTAATAAGGAACATATTTATCATTGACAAGTAATAGTAGTGAACTGGTCAGAGGATAAAAATCAGTCTCTTCTATGTGAATTTTAATACCATGCTCTGTGCTTCAGTGACGTGCTCGAGATAAGAACTGTGAAAACTTGTAAAGTGCTAGAAAAATACAAGGGGCTAATATTATTTTTTGTTGCTGTTCAAATTCACCAATGCCTAATCATCAAAGTATCTCTCCATAATTGAATCCTGGGCTCTGATTTGACATTGGAGTCTAGGTGGTGTGGTGGTAAGGGTTCTGGAGCTGGACTGCTTGGCTCCTTTACTCGCTAGCTGCGGGGCTTGGGCAAATGACAACTTCTCAGAACCTCGGTTTTCCCATATACAAAGTGGGGATAATATCAACTTTTGATTAAAGGAGATAATGCATCAAATATGAATGGCAGAGGTCTTGGCATGTGATACATACTCAATAGTTATTAATTCTCTTCTTGCCTCCCTGGATTTAGGCTATTTCAAGTGCCAAACAAGGCAATGTGAGCCCCTAAATTGAAACAGTATGAAGATTAACATTGGAAGGAGTGGACTGGATGATTTTGAAGGTAGCTCATAAGGGACTTAAATCTATTTTCAAAGCGGACAAGATGGTGAGAGGTGTTTGTTAATGTTGGATCTCTTTGTGGAGAACAATGCTGTTCTCAGTCCAAATAAAATTAGCTTCTATTTTTTTTTCCATGTCCTAACAAACCCTTGGTAAATTCAATGTCCTTTTGGGGAGGAGTAACACTGGTGTTTTTCTGCAGTGCTATCTTTATTTTTCTAGAGGTTAAAGACCTAAAAGTAACTTTAGGGGCCCCAAAGTGAAGTACAGGCCTAATCCACCACTGCTGATCTGAAACAGCTCATTTGCTGCAGAAGGGTAAATTTACTCTCCGTTTACACCTAGCCAGAGCTCTTTGTCATTTTACATTATTATGACTTTTGGAGAAAGGAAAACATAAGGCACCAAATATCAGTATTCATTACTAGCTTCTACAACTAATTCTTTAAAAAGCTTTATGCTATAAAATGATACATATTGTTGAAAAAAACATAGTAATACATAAGGCGAAAAGAAAAATTCCCCAATATGTCACCCTACCCATCTGTAGAAGTAGTTACTGTTAATTTGGCCTGCCTTTCCAAATATTTTTTTCTATATATTTTTAAAAGACGTATGTTAGTTGTTTAAAGACATTGTTTTGTATGATAGTTGTTTATTGTTTAAAATCAAAGTAAAGCAGCCTCTAGTTTCACTGTTAAATCTTTACTTATACCAACTTGATTGGTATGTCTAATTTCCATTTATTTTATAGGTGTTAGCACAAAGACTTTATGGATCACAGAACTTAAATGATATCTGTGATTGTGATCACTTTTTTATTCCTAATAATTTACATCATGTTGCTTTAAATTAAAAAAAAAGATGTCAAATGGGTGTTCTACCTTCCCTTGATTACTTTTTGCTTCAAACAACTGGGTGCTTTTTATTTTACTAAATATTTGCCTCAAGAGTTCCTGTATATTTTTTCCCTCTTTTATATTCTTGAGGATATCCAGCAGCAAAACTTTGGTATTGCTGAGAAATCTGAGAAATGAAATGTTTTTCACTTATAGAAAAAAACAAGAATTCAGTGAGCTATATATCTCAACCAAGAATTTCCTAAAAAAATATGAATTTTTTATTTTCAGAGACATATTAAAAGTTTTACTTATTTCCTTATTTTTTAAGAGATACCTAAAGTACTTACTATGTGTCAGATACTGCTCTAATCCTCAAACAATGTCATGGGTTAAGGACTATTACTATTCCCATTTTACAGAAGATACTGAAACCCAGAGAAATTAAGTGATTTGCTGAGGTTAAGTGGTTGGGAAGTGGAGAAGTCAAGATGTGAACACAGGCAGTCCGGTGTCAGAGTCCATCAGCTTGATCCCAACATTTCACCTTCTTATATGGACGCCTAATTGCTTATAACAGGTCCATACATTTAAATACTTTCTTATGAAAAAATCTATCATGACATTAAATTGCAAACTCTCTGCTACATTTAAAATCCTTTCCAATTTCCAATCATTTTATTACACACATTTTTTGGGAGAACATAAATCTGTTGCTTACAGAGAGGCATATTCTATTGCCAAACTACAATCTACCTCCTTGGGCCAACTCTCACCATTTGTTGATGATGATCTCTCTGAGGCCATTTCTCAATATCTTAAATGTCCAGAGCTATACTATTCAATGGATTATTGGGATAAATTCAGTATAAATTTGACAGTATTTTCACTCTTTAGGTTGAGGAAACTAAACTTTTATCCCCTAATAGCAAAGTGGCTGTTCTAGAATTTCTAATTTGACAAGCTTTGTCTGACAGTTTGAAAATAAATAGGCAACCAGCAGGCTGACCTTTTTTATTTTCCCTTCAACTTTCTTTCTATAAAGGCTAAAAATGTCACCAAGATATTTTGTGCATGTCATGTGTATAGGAGGATTCATCTGCTTATGAACCAAAATGATTGGGCAGGAAAGCCTGTTAATTGCCTTTCTGTGGGTTTCTATAAACACTTGACATAAATTCCCCAAGGATGTTTTCTGGGATCACAAAGAGTCTGACTAGTTCAGAGATGCCACGATATTCATGGGCTAGGGGAGATTTGCTCTCTGAACCGCCCACTGGGCTTGGAATGCACCAGTGGTAGAAGTCCAGGCCAATTTTAAGACAGGCACTGGGCGTTAGTCATGGGGTTAGAATAGCTGTTCACTGCTCAGAAAGGACAGTTAGGAGCTGGATTGCTGGTATTTTAAACACTATTTTTAGAGTTGAGGAGTTTAAAATAGTTAAAGCCCAGCTGTAACTGCTCTTTCCCGTCCTGGCTGATGTCCTTCTCATGGGATGCATTCCCCCCAGCAGCACAAATGTATTAATAGTTTAGAGAGAAAGAATACTCGTTTTTGTTGTCCATGAGAGAATGTTCATTAAACTCTGGGAACTTTCATTTTTCTAAGCGAATACTTGGAAACCGTTTACTCTCTGTAGTCAACATGAATAGGTGCAAACCTTCAACTATGTAAATTAAAAATTGAGGACCTAATTCTAACTATAAACTCAGTGGCTTTAATTTAAATATTGGACTGAACCTACCAGTAAATCAGTTTATGCCTCAAGAGTATTTGGGAGTTCCTTCTGTCCAGATATTTTAAGCCTTTCATGATGGAACCATAGAGTCTTTAGGAAATTATGTATACCATCTTCTTGATCTTGGACAAAACCACTCAACCTTTAATAAAAGATTCTAAGCAATAAATCCTAGCTTAAAGGTCAAATGGACTGAGCTTATTTCGGCCACCTGACATCTGATCTTTTTATACATCTGGGGAATCTGAGCAAAACTGCCTTTTCCTACAGGAGTTAAAAATGCCAGATACTTGCTTTTCCGCTTCCCTTGCAGCTGAGACAGTCATAGTTACAATAAAGTAAAATTGAATTCTGGCACAGAAATTGTGATGGTGCAAACTTTAGTGCTGAGCACTCCATGATGCTGGATGCATTTTCTTATCTTTCCAGATTTGTGATGTGGTTTTGGGTTTCATTCCTAAAAGCTTAATCTTAAAATCTTCTCAAATCCAAAGTTTCTGTAAACCACTACCTTTTTAATAAACTTCTTTTCTGCTTAATCAGCCAGAGTTGACACTCTTACTTGCGCATGATAGTAACAGCAGCAAAAACAACAGCTACAACAGCTAACCCTAACTGAGTCAGGCACTCTGCTAAGTGCTTTACATGCATGCACTCATTTAATCTTCTCAACAAAGCTATGAGGATGAGACTATTACTTTCATTTTATAGATGAGAAACCCACGGTGCAGAATGTGTCTGAAGTCATGCAAGCAGTAAGTGACAAAGACAAAATTTGAGTCCTGAGTCCGTGCTTGTAGTCATGACATTATTTTCCGCTGGTTTTTATATGTTAACCCAATATGCTCATTTTACAGATGAGTAAACTGAGTCCAAAGATATTAAGTGACTTACCTAAAGTCACACTGGTTTAACTTATTGCAGAAAACACTAAACTAAAGGTCCTATGATTCTCAGTCTGTTGAACTTCTTGGCATGTATACCGTTCAACAGTCATGGTGACTTTTCTTCTCAGGCTTACCAGCCTCATAATTCTGCATGTTGTGTGTTATACCTACTTTCTTGTTCATCTTCACCAAACATGGAGACCAGATGGTTTGTTTTCTCTCTAAGTGAGCCCATTCTTAAACCAGAAGGACATTAATTAGTGAACCCTCATTCAGTCTATTTTTTTTCTTCCTGAGTAGTAATTTCAATTCCTTTAATGGTTCTTTGGAAATTTTCTATTCTAAATCTGTAATCATCTTTGTGGCTCTCTTTGGTCCTTTGTTTTTTCTCGCCAGGCGGGAAGAAATTGTGTACATTCCCTTACTAAACTTCTTTCAGATGGCCTCCTACTCATTTCCAATTGACTAGGTTTGTATTTATTTCTGCTCCTGTTCTCTAGGTGCTGGACAAATTTACCCTTGCTTGGTGGCATTTCTAGCCTTCACAAGCACACCAGTCACCAGGGCCATACCCAGAACAGTGGTTTTATGCCCAAACCCCTGTGGATTTCTCTCACAGTTGATGCTGATACATCAAGAACATCTCTCTGGACTGTGTCTATTACAGTTCAGGAGTTAATACCATATTTGCCCAGTTATTGATTTGTGAGATTGAATAAAAGTATTTATTAGACATTATTTTTATTACTGTCCACCTATGTACCACTTATATATCGCATAAGGAGAGGGATACATATCTCAAATCTAAAGGGCTTTAAATAAGATGCACGAAAAGGATCCTCTTAGATGTGATTGTATC